TCAAGGTTTTTTATGTAAATCTCTGGCAGAGGATGAAGATGGCCATGGACTTCAGCGATGCTTGGTGCAGGTCAGGCTGCCTACCATCACCAAATGGAGACAAAGCTTAGTGCCTCCTGATGTGAACGTTAGAGCTTATAGTTATGTCCAAGGCCGAGCAAATCTTGCAATGTTTTCCATGATTTTGAAATCGTGTTGTTAGGGTAATTAGTTTCAGTGCTGCTTGTGCTGGTACCACCCATTTCAGTTCATGTCTGTTGCTATTTGTGCCTATTTTCTGCTAATGATATTAAGCAAATTCACTGTTGTGAATATCTGCAGGAACAGAGAAAACCGAACAGACTGCTTTGAGCGGGAGGTTGGATTAGATACCTCCTGAGGTCGCTTCCACCCTTGATTATGTGGTGATCCTAAATCAAATAATGAACGTGTTATAGCTAGCACTGAGCACTGTGCGACCCACGTGTTCAGCCAAAGCTGGCTGGGGCAACTCATATTTAGAAAATTCTTCAGGCTTTTAAAATAGTTTATTTAAAAAATGATGCAAGATAAAAAAATTACAAATGTTATGAGCTGCTTGCAGAGATAAACAGGAGACAGCTAGAAGCAGACCTTTGCCCCTTTGCTTGCCTTTTCCCATGTAGACTGGTTTGCAAGACCCCCAGTATAAACCAGTCTCAGCTAAGACTTTCATGCTGCTGCAGAATAGGAAAATACAGAGCAGTAATTTGCAGAATACTTTTATTCAGTAAGGTATACTTCTAGCTGCAGATACCAGTATCTCCTGATACAGGGGGTAAGCAGAGGCATAAGGCTGTAGTCTTGCAGACCTCATGTCCGTGCCCCATATCTCTGCCTGTGTTCTTCTGCAGTATATTTGCATGGCGTCACTGTCACCTCCCCAGTACAGAGGTGGCCACCCTGAACTGCTACACTCTGCTGCCCAGGGACTGCATGAGGACGAAACGATGCAGCCTGGTACAGCGTGCTGCTGTTTGCAGCGATGGTGAGTCTTCCACCAACTGATCTGGAGGCAAAAGCCTGGGTCTAAGGAGTGCTTTGGGCAACTGTTTCGAGAGCAGACCTTGTCTGATCAAGGTGGCGATCCAGCCTGAGCACCGGGAAGGAGTTCAGGACTTGGAAAGATGGCGATCTCGCTGCTCAGCAGGCAGTGCACTGTGTTATTTCTCTTACACAGGAACATATGATTTAATTTCTGAAGCACATTTAAGGTATGCCAAAAGGGAGAATTCTTTTTTGCCTCATACAGAAGGGCTGGCCTGGTCCTGTCCTTTTTGCCACCTTTCCCCAGAACTGCTGTACTTTGCTATTACTATAACTTTCTACAACACAAATACCTGTGTCATGGTAGTACTTAACGGAAAGAGGAGTGGTGGAATATAGTTCTTTGAATCAATGGCATGCTCCCGTTTATGGGAATGGAAACCCAGCTGGAGCAGGCTTGTGTTTCACCACTTCTTCAGCTAAAAATACAGAAGGGTGTTTGGCAGACTCGAGTGAAATAAGGGGAGCCAGCAACAGTGAAGGCCTCTAGCTTGAGAGCTTTGAGACCATGCGCCGGACAAATGCTGTGTGTGCTCCTTCCAGATCCCAGTCTTATCCCACACACTGTACTGGGAGGCCTTCTCTGCAGGTAAGGAAACAAGTGTGGCATTCGGGCAACCGCCTCAGGCTGGTGGGTGAAGCAGTCTGGTCTCGGTTTCTCCCTTCATCAAGCATCTGCTGTGGCACTATACAAGACTCCTGTAACCAGCATAACCTCCTAGGCAGTCTTACATCAGCAGGTAAAATGTTTTGTCCCATGTGCAGATCAAGTCACCTCTTGCTGTGTCTGGTCCAGCTGCTGCCAGCCTGGTCACCTGTCCTGCCACATTTGCTCCTCCACAGGCTGGCCCCAACAGCGAGGGAGAGCGGCTGGTGTCTGGACAACGGTCTGTGCTGACAGCAAGCTTGTTTAAAAGGAAGTCACTTCTTTGTTTTCTTTATTTTATGAGATCACAAATATGAGGATCATTTTCTCCTGCCCCCCCTGCCTCCCCCGGGCAAAGAGAGGTCAAGATCGGCTTCTGGCCTGTCTGGTTGCATGACATGGAGCTATCGTGGCCATTCTGCCTGCTGGGTGGCAAATCCTCGTGGCTGGCAGGTTGAAGGGAGCAAGTCCTATAGAGCAGATGCTATTATCGGGAAGCCGCACTCACTTCAACTGTATATGGAAAATCCTCGTTTTGTAATGAATGATGAAATCCAAGCACAGGCTGTCAGGCCAGGTGGAGCGGTGACCGTGCTGCCTGCAAGTGCTCTTCGGGGAATCCCAGGCCCTGCTCTTTTTGACAGTCGTGCAGTGTGTTGGGAAACATCCCTGGTTAGCTGGCACTGTGCTGTGAACCACAGCAGTCCGAGGCTCCGTGTGGGCAGCACACCCAGTGCCTCTGGGGTGGTGGGAGAGGATCCCTGGGTGGTGGAGGGGTCCCTGCGAGGCAGGGATGGCACGGACCTCCCCAGCCACTGTCAGAGGAGGGCTGACCTGTTCCCAGGGCACAGAAATGCATCTGAAACCTCCTGACTGCGATTCTGCAGTTCAGAGGAAAATGGAAAGTGGTGGAAGGGAGCCTGAAAATTGGACTGAAGAGCAAACATGTGAATAACTTCCAAAGAGTCAAAAACTGGCTCTGGCTTGGACAACCCCCCTATTCCTGTGATGGGGCTCTGACTCTCCTTACGTTGTTTGTTCTTCTGCTTTCACAGTGACTTGTCTCAAAGCTGGAGCCATTAGCTAACGGGTGTGGTAAACCCAGCAGGCTAATGGCTGAGAGGGGATACGAGTGCTCTCTCTAAATACATCAGGAGGTAAAAGCTATCAACGGAGAAGAGGTATGAAACTAAAGGACAGTATTGGTGCAAGTACATATGGGTACCAATTGGCTGCAAACAGATTTAGGCTGGAAACTAGTTCTAATTGTGCAGTGAACTAGCACCTGTAATAGTCTCTCAGATAAAGCAGCAAGGGCCAAAACGTCAGGATGTTCCCGACTGCCGAATTAGCTTATGGAAAGGGTGATGCAGCATCATGGCAGTGGCAGCATGCAGGCCACGGCGAGCCAGGAGCCCGGTGTGGTGCAGACGCCAGTGCTTTGGGGGTTCAGTAACTCACCCCAGTAGGGGCAGCTGGTGCAAGCCCTGCCTGCGCCGGGGGGTGCTCTGACCGCGTGCCTCTCTTGCAAGGGACAGGTTGTCCCCTGCTGCAGGGAAACCCAGATGAAGAGCAAAAATAGGAAAGTTTCCTTCTTTGCTAACAGTCAGTTATGCTTAATGTGGCATGCCTGATAGCTCCTCATACGCACCACCACAATTACCTGGGTAATGCCACTCTCTTTCCCACCATTAAGTCTTGCAACTCGTAACTAACTCCTTCCTCTCTCTGTGTACCTAAGCGGTGTCTAAATGCTGGTGAGCTTTTCCTAGCACTTATCCAAAACGTAACCTTTTCCTTAGGTTAGCAGCAAGCTGCTCTCTGTGCAGAATCTTTTCACTCCTGCTTTTATGCACTGGCCTCTTCAGCACACACAGAGCCTGTTCCAACTCCTTTAAATTATCAGCTAAAATTATCTTCTTGACCTGCTGATCTGAACCTTTCTGCTTGCTACTCCCACGCTGAAGCAAGTTTATCATTGGTGTCCTTGCTCTTAAGCTTCTGCCTTGCTCCTTTGCTTCCTTCATATCTGACCTGCCCTCTTATCCATGACCTCCAGCCCTTCTTTGTGGCCCCTCGTGCTGGCTCAGGCCCCTTTTTTGTCTCTTCTCCAGCAGTCACCCACAGACCTTACTTTAAGGCACTGTGTGTGCTCAGAATAATGTGAGTGGTGGGGCAGGAGTGAAGTGTTTGGGCATTGCAGCAGCTAAAACCACAACGCTGGTCCCCATCCTGGTTCATTGCCTACCCTGTGCTTTGGCAAGGAGGAGGATCGTAGGGCTTGCTCTAAGGAAGCGAAACACAACAAAATATTTTTCAGCAAACCTTGCAGGCGGAAACTTGCCTTCAAAGCATGACAGTCCAGTTCACTACAGCTTTTCTTTCTGTCCTGCTTTGTACATACCCTACTTTGTTGCAATAGATCTAAACCAACACGTTGTGCTCCTCAGGGCAAGGACTGTCTTTTGTTCTGCAAAGCCTCCAGCATGCTTCAACAATCGCTTCGTATTTCCTGACATGGGGAGGAAGGGGAAGAGTGGCCCCATGCTTGAAAGACAAACGTCATTAAAGTACAGTAGGAAAGAGTCTGAAGTAAAGCATAGTGCAGTGATGATCCAGATCATGAAACTTAATGAATTCACTGTGGAATGCAAAATGATTATTGTTGTATTTTTAGCAAGACTTGTGCTGGCTGTTGGAAACAAACCCAGGCTGACCCGTGAGAGCAAGGTGAATGCTGCTGTGCTGGCAGGGCTGTTGCAGGCAGCGGTGAGGAGCTCCTTACAGCCCATCCATCCGTCACCCGCCGCTCCCCAGCTCTCACCTACAGCTGGGCGCCCAGCACACCGTGACGCTCCCCCACTGGAGTGGGACAGAGGTAGCCTCATGGAACACCACCTGCTAAGTCCCTGTTTGGGATATTTAATGTGGAAAGGTTGGCCTGAGTTGTTCAGAACAGCTAAGAAACGCAGAAAGGCTGTTCGGAAATCTTTTCTTTGCAAGATTTATCTGTACAGGGACATAAAGTGCATCCATAGCTGAGCGAGGGATCCCTCTGCAGCAAGCCTGAATAGCAGCCTCTGCGTGCTGACCTTGGGTTCACATGGGGAATGTGTGGCTGTAGGACTTTGCACTTCTGATTCCACCCTGACTGTAGCCCCTGCGCCGGCAGCCGCGAGCTGTTGGCATAAACAGCAAATCCAGCTGGTAGTGCTGCAGAGGACGGGATTGTTGTAATGTGAAAATTACAGGGCCTGGGTAGATCTGTTGTGTTTTGACAGCACCTGTAAGTAACTGTAAGGATGGGAAGTCGCTTTGCTCCTCTTGCAAATGCAGATCATGGCAGTGGTGCTCACGCCGTGTTCTCTCATTGCTGCTTTGAACTTCATTTCCTGTTTGATTGTTCCCTTAATCAAAAGAAAATGAACTCCAATTAAGGTATCTTACAAAGTATGATTTCTGTCAAATTAAGACCGCTGGTGTACCTTTGAAAAAGCAGTAATGTTGAGGCCTGATTCAGACAGGACTTAGAAGAGAAAGGGGTGGATCAAACTTCTCAAGTAAATGCAGTAAGAGCCGAGTTTGATTCATGCAAATCCAAGTTTTCATATAATGGGAGATCCTCCTGTTTGAGATAGGATGGGAGACTGACATGAACATTATAATAGTGTTTTGGAAATGAAAAGGGCGTATCCGTGGCTGTATGTTTACCCAGGCGTGTTCACGCATGTTGTCTTGGTGGAAAACACATCTTTTACGTGTACTTACGATGAGGCTTGCAGCAGCCCGCGGAACCTGCAAGAGCACCGTCTGTCACGACAAACTGCTTTCGGCATGTGAAGACTGTTCGGTGGGCTGGAAGGTCTGTATTGTGTGTTATTAGTATACAACCTTCTAAACTGTCGTCCTCATATTTCATGGACAAACTTTTAATAAACAAGATAAATTGTTCTATTGAGAATATTAAGTTTTAAAAGCACTTGGTTTTGAATTAAAAGAAGATAGCCTTGGCAGGATGTAGGCAGAAAGCTCAATTTAAGACCCACTCAATGAAACTGCATTTAATAGTGGAAATTTACTGAAATCTTGGAACTTGAAAGATTTTAACTCCTGTTGTGGGTACTCGATGTAAGAAGGTGTTAAAACCCAGAAAGCAGTTACTCCGTTAAAGCATTTTGTATTAAACATGCTCTTCATTTTTTGCCTCAAAAGGCAAGACAAGCCCAAAGTGCAGAGCCAGGGCTGGCACAGTGAATGAGCCCCTGCTTTAACGGAAGGATGAAGCCCACACCAGCAAGGTATCAGTTTCAGGGTAACTGGTGGGGACCTCTAATGAGGGGCTGTCATAGGAAGGCAACTTGGGTCGTTGCTCACTGCCTTCGGGATGGAGCTTTGCACGAGTGTCAAGGAATTAAAGTCCCTCAGACACCAAGTGAGGCTGGCTGGAACCAGCACCTTGCAGAGCCGCAGCTGTGCAAAGCAGAGACCTGCCCCACGCTGATGCCCCTTCTTTTCCAGGGTAACCTGGGGCCCCATCCCCTTCTGCTCTGCACCTCTGCCAACCTCGGCTTTGCCTACTGGAAAAAAAAAAAAAAAAGACCAAATGAGAGTAGCTGCGCTGCCTGTGCTCCTTGAGCACATGTGAGGGACTGCAGATGAGCAGAGGATTGGGCCTCTGGTGGCTCTCAGTAGGTGACTGTCTTTTAAAAATGAAAAGCAATCCCAGAATGGTCAAAAGGCCCTGAAAGTCAGCAAGGATTATGAACAGGGATTGAAAGCTAGAGAGAGAGAAAATCTTAATTAGATCTCCACCAACCTGTAGAGGAACACATTTGGATTAAAACGAAATGGGAGCTTTGTACTCTCAGGGTTTCAGTGCAAGAATGGAAGAGGAATTATTCACATTTGCCATTTGTGAAGCTGGATTGCTTTTTCTGTGAACTTGTCTCTTTACCTTCTCACCTTGTCAGAAAATTGTGAAAAGCTGCTGGGATGCTATATTTGGGGTAGTTCTTATCACAGTACATAGCAGAAACATTTCCATGGCTTCCCAAGATGGGCAGAGTTTCCTCTTTAATCCTCTCCTCCCCAAGTTAAGTCCTTTCCTCTCGTGGTAAGCCAGCCTGTCCGCCATCCACCAACCTGCCTTATATTTCACTACCATCGATATTTTCTCTTTGTGAATATCTATCAATATTTAACACAGTGGTGTCAGTTTTGCTGTAAGATGAGAGGAACTACTAGAAACCTTGAATTATACATTGTATGGCTGGGGGAAGCAGGGGAGAGTTTTCTTTTGGACCCAAAGCTCTTAGAGTTGATCTCCAGGACCTGCAGCTTGAAATCCTAGTAATGGATGAGCACCAGAAAAAAATCAATCAGCGGCATGAGGGAAGGCCCCGCAAAGTGAGGTTCAAAATATCGTCGGCTTACAGTGGTCGAGTGCTAAAACAAGTCTATGAAGATGGGCAGGAACTCGAGCCCCCCGCCAAAGAGCACTCTCGGCGTTTTCTCCGCCACTGCTTCGAGCTGGGGGACCATTTCTGTGGGGCCGGGGAAACACCACAGAACAGGTTTTACCCGCCAGCCAAGCTGACTGCCCAGCGGATCAGCATATTCAAAGAGGACAAGAAATACAGTCTCACCAGTAACTCTCCTCTCCTCGGTGACTACCAGTCAAGCGACAGCCATTGCAGGGTAAGTACTGTCCAGCCTAGGGCTGTCAAACTGTTTGGAAACCAACTTAGGACTACACCATTTTTGGAGTAATGTGGTAAAAGGAGTCTCAAACCGGAACCGCATTCTGATAAAACTCAGTTTTGCCAGTCCAGGATTTTAAAAGTGTAATTGTAAATCTTCAGCCTTTACCCCCAAATGCTGTATTCTGCTTACTCTGGAAATGGCAGGAGCTGCATCTTTTGCGGCAGCGCCATCCGCAAGTGAGCAGCATCATGTGAGCTGTGCTCCATCTCCTCGCTGGGTTCATTTGCATCTGCCCATTTTGTAGAATAAGTTATAGCATTTCCATATATATCAATATCTATACATAGTAATCCTAATGCATCTAAAGCAGTCAAATGTAAGGTGGATATTATCTTAATTAGTTATGTTTAAAACATTAAAGTTGCATGACTTGAGCTGGCAAAAAGGTTAGCGCTGCTGGCAGCGTACCAGTGAGCCTCCGAGCGAGGCATCCGCATCCTCTGGCAAGTCAGAGTTACCCTTTGGCTACTCTGAAAATCCCAGCTTAGTTTCACTGGGTATTTTGTTAACGTATAATTAATGCCATTGATATAGAAGCGTCTCTTTAGTCTTAATAAAAAGCCAGTACATGTGTAATATATGTTAAACTGATTAATACACGGGGATTATGTTCATTTTCTTACCCTGTTGGATTAGATTTATGTATCTCTTACTGCTCTTCGGTTTTATCAACTCTAGATGTACCACCTAAACAATTCATACAACGATGATGGTGTCTCGGCACAATTGATAACGCAGCCATGTCACACTGATATGCAAACTCTAAATGGAGTATGTTATATTGATATAATCAGCAGACTTGTAAAACGCGAGGTGAGTCTGCTCAGAGAAAAGATAAAAAGGAAGATGGTGTGAGGTAAGCTGGCTTGCTGAATCGATACCAGGCCTTTCCCTGGGCCACTGCTCATTCAGCTCCAGCTCAAACTGAACGATGAGCAGTTAAGTGTCAGCAAACAAACCAGCTCGTTGTCCGAATCCCCCCCCCTCGCACACCACCCCAGTCCTGCAGTGCCTGCTTGGTGGTGGTGGTGCCGCCCCAGTTGCTTGCAGAAAGGTCAAGAATTGAGCGTATCTCCAGAGAGAAATACGAGGTCCCGCAAGTACACCAACCGCTGCGATGCGAAGTTGTGTCGTCATCCATTGTGGTCTTTGCATGAATAAGGAATGTCACTCTGGCTGCGATACGAAGTTGTGTCATCCATCGTGGTCTTTGCATGAATAAGGAATGTCACTCTGGCACTTATACAAAGAGATTGAAGTGCTTTAAAAAGTATAAGATGCTTTCTATGGCCTTGGTTTGAATACATTAATAGTCCATTAATTCTTGGTGCCAATCAAAGCTGCATGTAGGAAACCCAGATGGCTGATATTTGAACTATATTTAGTTGATACATTGGGCATCTAGTTTGACTGAAAATATCAAACCACGATGACTCTCTCCTGCCTAAAGACAGAGCACTAACATGATCTTATCCATACCATTAATTTGTTCTGCATTCTTGGGTAACACCCATCTCTATTCGTAGTTTCCCTAACCATAAATACCTTGAGTAATCACGCTCTCTGGTACCAGTTGTGTTTTGTATCAACTTGCATTTGGTATTTGGAGATACCATGTCTGTGTAACAAATACGAGGCTTTTAAAGCCTTCTGCAAATGGTAAAGATTTGCGCTCACCTGCCTCCCTCTCCATGTTTCTCCCCATAGAGAAGCAAGTGCCCAATTGCCAGGAGAGCCATTGGCCACGTCGTTTCAGCAGATGTGACTCTGGCAGGGTATTTTCTTAGGAGAACATTTCCTTTTGCATTGCTTCTTGACACAGATACTTAAACAGAGTGAAATATGAAGAGTGTGTAAAACAATAGGCTATGGTAACTGCCATACGATACCTAGTGCAAAGGGGAAAGGGACCAGGTAAGCAAAATGCTGCTTTTGAAGAAACATTTGACCATACCAAGTTTAGCTTTAAAATCATTAGAAAAGAACACAAATTCACGTGTCCCCACAGATGATTGTTTAGACTGGCTCTTCACTGTTAGGAACACACTTTAGCATTAGATAATGAGATTTTTTTAATCATCTGACCCTTTTGCCAGCATTAATAAATTACAAAGAAAAGTTTTCTTTTAAATCTGAGAAAAGCCCATCAAAGGCTGCAGAAAGTTATCACCATGGGGAACTTCTACTTTTGACCAAGCCCATGAAAACCCCTCTCCACCCCCCCAACTACTCAACCCTCAAAGAAATGTAGGTCAATCCCCAGTGCAGAGGTTGCTTTTCCATATATGCCAACACCACTGCTCTTAGAACTGTGCCATCTTTTTTTCTTGCATATGGGTTGGAATGAGAATTTAGATTCCAGAAAGCTTTCCCCATCCAGAACATGACATTAAAGTGGGGCTCCTAAGACTTGACCCGAAGTCTTGGTCTCCTCCCATAGCCCATTAGGGCCATCTCTCCACTGCTGTTCTGCTCAGTGCTCTGAGAGGTAGTGGGGAGCTGGCTCATGCTGCAGAGCCAGCAGAGCAGATGACCGAGCAGAGAGGATGTTCTTCTGGGAGCCCAGGGATCATCAGTGTTTGTAGAGTGTATTTATACAGGCGAGACACTGATAAGATCCTTCTACAGGCTTCCCCAATTCTAGATTTTGGCAAGATCATCATCTACACTAATAACCTGAAAATCATCCGTGCACCAATGGACCAGAAAGAGCTTGTGAGAAGAATCGTCCAGACTGAGGGAATAAATGACTGGGCCTTCATATACCGGGAAAGGAAAGAAAGATTTGGTGGTGGACATAAAAAAGATGTGGAAAAAAAGGTTGCCTGCAACCAGTATGTCCAGGTAAGAGAAAATGGAAAGTGTTTTTTTCCCCTAAGGCTTTTGGCTCTTGCAGCCCTGGTCAGACCACTGAGTATTCCCACCCAAGCCCCATCTATGTCAGTATCTGGCACTTAACTAAATTTGGAATAAAAATATAATTTTGTTCCTCTTTCCACTTGGGATCAACGCTGCTCTGCAGTTTGTGCTCTGGGGACAGCTGTTCTGTTTCCAGATGCTCATGTGTCCCACTTGATTCTTCCCCTGGAGATCACTGACATTTATGTAGCTTGGCTTAGGTCCATCCTTCGTCACCATCTCCCAGTGGAATAAGAGCAGGCCGGAGTTTCACCAGCCTGACAAGGCTAA